TTAGGTAGGTAGGTCGGTAGGTGTGTGTTTGAGAGGGCGGGGAGAGAGAGAGAGAGAGAGAGAGAGAGAGAGAGAGAGAGAGAGAGAGAGAGAGAGAGAGAATGGGGAGGGCAGAGGTAGAGAAGGTAGATAGATTGTGTGTAAGAGAGAGAAAGAGAGGTGGGGGTGGATAGACTATGTGTGTGAGGGAGGGAGGGAGAGAGAGAGAGAGAATGTATGTTTTAAAGCTTGTGTCTGCCTTCACTTAATTAAGCTGCTATTTCAGCTGCATTTTAAGATTTTAATTACACTTATGTGTTGGGGTCATCCTTGGGTGTTTTGTCTGTTGTTGTTTTTGGTGTGTTTTTAAGCTGATAATGTAATAGTCTCTGCGTTAAATACTTCCTCGTCATCTTCTGTTGGTTTTTATTTGGTTATTAGTATTATAATTATTATAACTGCTGTAGATAAAGGCGGATCTACAAGCTGGCTACAGCCCCCTGATTACACCCCTCGACCTGTTGTGGGCTTGTCTCTCTTGTTTCGTGGTAATTTGTAGTGATGCATCCTGTAGCTATGTCGGAGATATTGTGCTTCATAACGATGAGCCTTTAACGTGTAGGTTCCACTTTTCTCTTGTTCCCGTTATTCTTGTCTGTGAATTGGGATTTTTGCTCCTCTGAATGAGTTTCATCGTGTCGGTATCACATGAGCTCGCACGAAAATCGCACATTTTTGGTGGGTTCTCTGATGTGGTTTGCTACTTCTTTCCTATTAAACATCTGTCGTCCTTATCCCTCCTCCTTTTTTGGGTGTTTTTTTACTCTCTCGTAACATCAAATCTACGGCTCTTATGACATAAATGTGTTGCAAGTGCCGTAGAACGGTTACTAAAACTAAAACAGGCACATTTTTGTTTCTATAGTGGTTGCGTACTGTTGCTGCAATAAATGTGCTGGCGGCTCTGTACTGACGCAATCCATGTCCTTTGTTATTTTTGTCTGTCGTCCCTCGGTATCCTTGTATTATACTTTAGCAAGTCTGTATCCTTGCAGTTTCCATATATTCAATCCGTATAAGGGTTTTAACGTTGTTCCCTACCATACCCACGTCTCTCCCTCTCTCTTGTCTCTATTTCTACGTTTTAGTATGTGATTAACTGCAGTTACGCTGTATACTGTATAGTCATTGGAATGCTTGCCATTCTGTAAGCTCTAAAAATAGCTTGTTTGCTCCTCCTCCCCCCCTCTCTGTATGTGCGTTCGTGTGTATGTTTCTCTCTCTCTCTCTCTCTCTCTCTCTCTCTCTCTCTCTCTCTCTCTCTCT